GTAATAGTAATAGTAAAAGTAATAGTAATAATAATACGAATACTCAAAATGATAATAAAAAACAATGCTAATCATACTAATAATGAGAAGAATACCCATGATAATAATACGAATACTACGAATAATACAATGAAAATATTAATAGTAATTAAAAAATATTAATGAAACTGATAATGAAAATCATGGTAGTAATAATAAAAATAATAATAGCAATAGCAAAAATCTTAAAATGATGATGATAAAACGAATACGAATACTAATAATAACAATAATAATCATCATCATCATCAGCATCAGCATCATCATCATCATCAGCATCATCATCAGCATCATCACCACCACCATCACCATCACCATCACCATCACCATAATCCAACCAGCCCTCTGGGCGTCGGTGGTTTAGAGCGTGTCCTCTTCCACCCCTCCCTCTTCCCCTTCGGGGAGGGGTTTACCCCTCCCCCTACCCCATCCCCGTGGACCTGGACGGGAGGGGCGGGGAGGTGTCAGAGCGTCCAAAACGGCCTCGGCGAGGAAGCCAAAATCATTGATTTTACTATGGTATTGGCCACATGTTGGCATCCCGTGTGGGGGGGGGGGGGCAACCCTAATTGAAGCTCCGCTCTTCTTTGATAGATCTCCTCCAAGATGGCACAAAGAAGCGCCCAGGAGGCTCCAAGATGTCCCAAAATGGCCCCAAGATGGCCGCAAGAGGCCCCCAAAAGGCACACAGAAGGCCCCCAAGAAGACCCTCAGCGGCCCCAAGAGGCCCCCCCCGAGGCACCCAAGACCCCGAAGAGCCCCCCAGGATCGCCAAGAGACCCCCATGACGTCCCAAGAGGCCACTAAGAATCGCCCAAGAGATACCCCAAGAGGCTCCGAGAGGCATCCAAGAGGCCTGTGGCCCTTGTGCTTGCCCTCTCCTCCTCCTCCTGTTCCTCCTTCCTGCCCCTACTCTTTCTCTTCCTCCTCCTCCTCCTCCTCCTCCTCCTCCTCCTCCTCCTCCTCCTCCTCCTCCTCCTCCTCCTCCTCCGCCTCCCCCTCATCCTACTCATCCTCCTTCCCACTCCCTCATCCATCCATCCATCTACCTCCTCTTTCTCCTCCTCACTCCTTTGCACGGTTCGGCCGTCCTCCTCTTTGCTGCCGTACTTCCCTGATCACCTCAACTCGCCTGAGCATCGTTTCTGGATGGGCTGGTGGGGATACTTTTTGCTGCCAGCCGCAGGCGAGCGCGCCGACGTCGAGTCAAGGTCCGAGCGGGCCGCGCGAGGCCCTAAATTACCTAGCAGAAGCAGGACTACCACCGCAACTCAGAACGGGGTCGGGAGTAGCCGAAGAGGGGCGGAGCAACTACTACCACCACGACCACCACCACCACCACCATCATCATCAGCATCACCACCACCACCACCATCATCACAAAAACCACCAACAGCACCATAACCACCACCACCATCATCATCATCATCATCATCATCATCATCATCATCATCATCATCATCATCATCATCATCATCATCATCATCATCATCATCATCATCATCATCATCATCATCATCATCATCATCATCAGCATCATCATCATCATCATCATCATCATCATCATCCTCATCATCATCATCATCATCACCATCACCTCACCATCACCATCACCATCATCATCATCATCATCATCATCATCATCATCATCATCCATTATCATCATCATTCATTCGGTCATCATCATAATCATCATCATATATCTCATCATCACCACCACCACCACCATCATTTCATCATCATTCACTCCTCATCATTCATCATCCACCATCATCATCATCATCATCCATCATCATCATCATCAGCATCATCATCAGCATCATCATCATCATCATAATCATCATCATCATCATCATCATCATCATCATCATCATCATCAATCATCATCATCATCATCATCATCATCATCATCATCATCATCATCATCATCATCATCATCATCATCATCATCATCGCCATCGTCATCGTCATCGTCATCGTCATTGTCATCGTCATCGTCACCACCATCATTACCACAACCACCACCACCACGACCACCACAACCACCACCATCATCATCATCACCACCTTCATGATCATCAAAACCACCACCATGATCACCACAACCACCACGACCACCACCACCACCATCATTATCAACGTGATCGTCATCAGCATCATCACCATCATCATTATCATCCTCATCATCATCACCATCATCACCACAACCACCACCACCACGACCACCACCACCACCACCATCGTCATCACCGTCATCATCACCACCATGACCATCGTCACCACAACCACCACCACCACGACCACCACCACCACCATCATCATCATCATCATCATCATCATCATCATCATCAGCATCATCATAATATTCACCACCATCATCATTACCACAACCACCACAACCACGACCACCACCAATATCATCATCATCAGCATCATCATCACCATCATCATCACCAAAATCATCACAACAACCACCACCACGACGACGACCACAACCACCACCACCACATCATGATCATCATCATCATCATCATCATCATCATCATCATCATCATCGTCATCGTCATCGTCATCGTCATCATCATCATCGTCGTCATCATTATCATCATCAGCAGCAGCATCATCATCACCATCACCACCATCCTCATCATCACCACCACCACCACAATCGTCATCATCCTCATCCTCATCATCATCAGCATCGTCATCATCATCAGCATCGTCGTCGTCATCATCATCGTCCTCCTCCTCCTCCCCCTCCCCCTCCTCCTCCTCCCCCTCCTCCTCCTCCTCCCCCTCCCCCTCCTCCTCCTCCCCCTCCTCCCCCTCCCCCTCCTCCCCCTCCCCCCCTCCTCCCCCTCCCCCTCCTCCCCTCCCCCTCCTCCCCCTCCCCTCCCCCTCCTCCTCCCCTCCTCCCCCTCCTCCAAAACCGTCATCGTCCTCACCGTGAGGTCTGGAGGTTGCCTCGGGCGCCGCGGCCAGCGCTCCAGCGGGCGCCGGGGCGACGCCCCCGCGCCCGGAGCCCGCCGGCCCCGCTCGGGAGCGGGCGGCGGGCCTCCCCGAGGGGCCTGGCCCCAGTGAAGGGGCCCCAGGACACACCAATAAGTACACACAAATAAGCAGATTCCCCATATTTTCCCATATTTTTTCTGGGTTCCTGTCTTCCCCCCCCCGCTTCCCCTATTTTCCCAGATTTTCTGGGGAATCGAGGATTCATTGTGTCTGTGTGTTTCTTTTCCTCCTGACCTAGGCCGGGCCTGTGCCCCTACAGGGGGACAGGCCCGACCTAAGAATAGAAGTTGTGGAAACATAGGAAAAATAGAAAAAAGGTAGAGATTGTCCAGACATAGGAACTGTCACAGAGAAGACTCCAAAGATGGAGAAACGGAACTTGACAAAAGAGATGAACGAACAGAAATCGTCAAAAACAGAAAACGGAGAGAAAAAAGGATAGAAGAAAGAACTTGTCCAAAAAAAACAGATTTTGGACGAAACGTAGAAATTGTCAAAAGATATTCAAAAGATGCCCAAAGGTATTTCAAAAAAGATAGTCCCCAGACTATGTTTGGACTATTTGAGTATTCCCCCTGTAGAGGGACAGGCCCGACCTAAGCCTGGCCCCCTGACGGAGGCTCCCCGACTGGCATGACGGAAAGGGTCCGCAGTAGACGAACGCATTCCACTACTCGCCAAGTGACGACTCCCAAATGGCCCGGATCCGCCGGGGGGTATCCGAGAGAAATTCCATCGAAGCAGACATGCGTTTTCCGGACATTTGCGAGTAGGCACTGTGGAACGCGCTCGGTGACGCAAGGAAAGGGCCCTGAGCATAATGTCGGGTTTGCTTTGCAGGGGAACGAAGAATGGCATAAACATACAGAACTTGGAGGTCCGCGCGGATTTCTCGGATCGGCGCTGGGGCCCCCTGGCTGCGCCTCCCGCGCCGCCGCTAACGCGCTCCGCGCGCCAGGGAGGGGGGGTCCGGCGCGGATGCGAGAAATCCGCGCGGACCTCCTAGTTTTTATGTTTTGTCATTTGTCGTTCCCCTATTTCGGACCGGCTCTTCATCCCCGGTCAATCACGGACGTTCCTGGGCCTCGGGAAGAACTACGGGAGGACGAACATGGATCAAAATCTGGAGGCCCCTTTTCGCTGAGGCCTCCTTTCCCGAACATCCGAAGATGCGCGGCCACAGGGGTCCCGACTCCTTCCCCGGGGTAATGCGTGCCGTCCCGGCTCTTATTTTGATGGCCCCAGGCTCCGGCAACAGGGCCGAGGAGGCCGAAAACGAGGAAGAGCGCTGGCATCGAACAATGAACAAAGACAGGTCGTCGCAGATCTGGGCGCCCCCCGGCGGTCCAAAGATCGGGAGGCAGGAGGGCTTCTCGGAGGCAGGGGGGCTTCCTGGAGGCTGGCTGCCGGCCTCAGCAGGCTGCCCCCCTCGCCGCCGCCTCCTTCCTTGAGTTGAGGACGAGGCCTCCTCCTCCTCCTCCCCCTCATCCTCCTCCTTCCTCCTCGTCCTCCTCCTCCTCCTCCTCCTCCTCCCCTCCCCTCCTCCTCCTCCTCCTCCTCCTCCTCCTCCTCCTCCTCCTCCTCCTCCTCCGCCTCCTCCCTCCTCCTCCTCTCCTCCTCTCTCCTCCTCCTCCTCATCCTCCTCCTCTCCTCCTCCTCCTCCTCCTCCTCCTCTCCCTCCTACTCCTCCTCCTCCTCCTCCTCCTCCTCCTCCTCTTCCTCCTCCTCCTCATCCTCCGCCTCCTCCTCCTCCTCCTCCTTCCTTCTCCTTCCTCCTGCTCCTCCTCCTCCTCCTCCTCCTCCTGAGGAGTAATCTGACGACCCTCGTCTCTGGAGCCCCTGCGGAGCAGCAGGGAAACTTGCAGGCACGCGAAACTCATGGAGAACATAGAGAAAGGCATCAGCATCATGACCTCACATTTCCGCTCTCTCCGCGGCTCGCCCGTCGCCTCCAGCGCGGCCGCGAAGCGCTTGCCGGTGTTCGCCAGATCGTCCGCCGCCTGGTCCTGCACGCCGGCCATGAAGGCGTCGAGGGGATCAACATCGTCCTGGAGGCCAGTCGGGGAGACAACAACGACGACGACGATTGCGACGACGACGACGACGACGATAGAGATGACGACGACGCCGACGCCGACGCCGACGCCGACGCCGACGCCGACGCCAACGCCGACGCCGACGCCGACGCCGACGCCGACGCCGACGCCGACGCCGACGCCGACGCCGACGCCGACGCCGACGCCGACGCCGACGCCGACGCCGACGCCGACGCCGACGCCGACGCCGACGCCGACGCCGACGACGACGACGACGACGACGACGACGACGACGACGACGACGACGACGACGACGACAACGACGGAGGCGGCGGCGGCGGCGGCGGCGGCGGCAGAGGCGGCGGAGGCGGCGACGACGACGACGACGCCGACGGCGGAGGCGGCGGCGGGCGGCGGCGGCAGCAGCGGCGGAAGTCCTCGCCGCCCGCCGCGGAGGGCTCCTCGGCGGGCGCGGCGTCGTCCGCGCGGCGCTTCTGGCCCCTGGACTCGGCGCCAGAAGCGCCGCTGCCCGACGCGGCGGCGCCCGCGCTCGCAGCGTCGCCGTCCCCGGCCTGCGCCTTCGGGATGTGAACCACCGCCGCCGCCGTCGTAGCCGGCGTCGGCGACAGCACAGCCGCCGTCGTCGCGGCCGCCGCCGAGGCCGTCGCCTTTGCCGTCGGACCTGCTTTCGTTTTCCCTGCGACAGCGGCTGTTACCAGCCTCGCCCCCCGCCCCCCATGGTAACGTCACGTTTCGCGCCGGCGCCGTCTGGGAATGCCTCGGGATAGCTAAGCTGAGGGCAGCTAGAAGAAGCATGCAGGTAGGGATCTGCCAGGGACAGCTGTGCACAACGTGGCGCTTGCTGGGAATAGGCACGAACAGCCGACGTAACGCCTGCGCGCGCCACAAGATGTCCGCGGAAGGACATCCGAGATACCTACCAGTGCCTGTGTACACCAAACGACCTGCGTGCACCACAGCGCGTCTCAGCACCAGCACTTACGTGCTGCGCGCAAGCAATGCGTGCCTGTGGGAACAACGATGCCGGTGTACACCACCGCAGCCGTGTGCACCGAAGTGCGTGTACACCACAGAGCCTGTGTGCACAACAGCGCTTGTGTACGGCTGAAATCGCGCACGTGTAACACCACAACCCCTGTGTACACCAAAATGCTGGTATGAGCGTGTTTGCGGTTCCTGTTCTCCCCAGGAGGCGACGCCCGGCAATTCTGGGAGTCAAAATTCACGAACTATGGGGGTTAAAGAACATGTTGCCTACAACGGTTGCGTTTGAGGCCACACTGAAGCCTCCAGAGACCTGAAAGGCTTGAAGAGGCCTTCAGAAACCTCTTCGAAGCCTCCTAAAAGCATCTCACGCTTGCATATCAAACGCCTCTCGAGAGCACATCAAATGCCACTCACACAGAGTCCTCTCAGAAATCGCCCAGAAGCCCTTCAGATACCTTTGGAACGCTTCACTGGGCCACTCCAGATCCCCTTGGAATACTTAGTAAGAAGACGTTCCAGATACCCTCGGGGGGGGGGGGGGGGGAAACAACAACAAAAAGAGAGAGAGAGAGGCAACACAGCGTCACCGACATGCCGACCAGGGCACACCCGAAGGCCCGCCAGCGAACCCGGACGTTCCTCTGAAGCCTTGCCGCGCTCCCTGGAACTCGATGGGGAGCGCTGAGAGTCTCCGAAGGTCCCCCCAGCGGTTTCCTGAAGCCCCTGAAGCTCTCCAGAAGCAGACCAGCGCCGCCCAAAGGCCACGTAGCGCGCCATCAAGCCCGCACACGCCCCTGGACCGCCCCCTAAAGCCTTGCCGTGTTTCCAAGAACTCGATGGAAGCGCGCTGAAAGTTGCCCTTTCCCCGTAGCCTTGTCGCGCTCCCCGAAACTCGAGAAAGGCACGCTGAGAGCTTCGAAAAATGTTCCTAAAGCTCCGGAAAGCCCCATCGAACCCCGTAAAAGCACCCCAACGCCACCTAAAGGCCCTCCCTGGAACTTTGTGGAAGCGCGCTGAAAGCCGACCCTAAAGCCCCTACAGCTCCCCACGTAGAGGCATCCCAACGGCACACGAAAGCCACGCAAGGCACCCTAAGGCCCGAAAGCGTCCCCAGACAAGCCTTGCCGAGTTCCCTGGACCTCAAAGAAGGCACTCTGAGAGCCTCCAAGGGTAGCCGAAAAGGCTCCCTAAAGTCTCTAAAGTTTCCAAGCCTTGCCGCGTTCCCTGGAACTCGATGGAGGCACGACGAAACCTCCAAAGGGCTCCCCAAAAGCCCCCTAAAGCCCCTAAGTTCCTCAGATGCATCCCAGCGCCACCGAAAGGCAACGCAGGGCACCCTAAGACCCGCAAGCGCCCCCGGACCTTCCCCCAAAGCCTTGCCGCGCTCCCTGGAGCTCCATGGAGGGCGCTGCCACATGCCCCCTGAGGCCCGTACACGCACCCTTCCATGCTTGAGCTGCTCCTCCAGAACCCCCAAGAATCCCCCAGAAAGACTCCCAAAAGCCCCCAGAGCTCCCGGGAGGCACCCCACAGCGCCACCCGAAGGCCACGTGGGGCACCCTGACAACCCGCAAGCGCCCCTGGAGCCCCCCCGAAAGCCTAGCCGCATTCCCTAGAGCTCGGTAGAGGCGCGGTGAAAGCCTCCAAAGATCACCCAAAAAAATCCTTAAAGCCCCGACTGGTTCCTAGAGATAAACACACCACCACCACAAGGAAATACAGGGCACCCTAAGGCCCGCGAGCGCCCCCAGACCTTCCCCTTAATCCTTGCCCAAGAGGCACCAAAGACTGCCCCAAGAGCGCCCAAGATCGCCCCAAGAGGACCCCAAGAGCGCCCCAAGAGTGTTTTCGATAGCCCCGAAGGGGAGGGGAAAGCTAGGGTCCCCCCTCTTTTGACCGATGGTCTTCAAGATGGCCCCCGGGAGGCGTTCCATAGCCCCTATGGGGACTCCAAAAAAAACCTAGAGAACCCCAAGAGGGCCCCACGAGGGCCCCAAGGCGCCCCAAAAGAGCCCCAAAAGGACCCCAAGACCCCAAGAGGGCCCCAGGATGCCCCAGAAGAGCCCCAAGAGGACACCAACATCCCCCAGTACAGCCCCATAGCTCCAAGAAACCCTCCCATGCTCCAAGATGGCCTCGAGGATGGCTCGGGGGGGGGGGGGGGGGCAAATCATGGCCAGCGGCACGTGCGCGGCCCAGGGGGGAGGTGGGGAAATATCATGGCCCTCGCCATGATGTCTACCCACCCACCCCTAGTCATCACCCCCCCCTTTGCCGCCCCCGATCACGGGCAGGGTTTCTGAATGGGCTGGTGGAGATTATTTTCGTACGCGGGCGCGCGAAGCGGGTCGAACGCCGCGCGAGCAGGGGCAGGTTGCGCCACCAGCTAAGGGCAAGACAGAGAGGCGAGCAACGCCGGGCACAGAGCGGGACAGAGCTCAGCGCGGCCAAAATGGCGCGGAAGGCATCACTAAGCGGCACCGGGAACACGTCCATGTAGGTGCCGAGCTGGAAGCGCGGGTGGGGACTCACGAAGCGTAAACCATTTACTTTGGTCGCCGCTGCCGCCAGCGTGGTCGCCGCCCCCCCGCGCCTTCGGCGTGGGCGCCGCGAAATGCCTCCGCGCGGGCCTGCTGTGCATGGCGCGCGCGCGCGCGGCCGGGGACGGGGGGCGCGGCCGGGTCCTAGAGCCGGGGGAGGAGCAGGGAGGAGCAGGGGGAGGGAGGAGGAGGAGGAGGAGGGAGGAGGAGGAGGAGGAGGCCGTGGCGGAGGCGGAGGGCGGAGGGAGGAGGAGAGAGGAGGAGGAGGAGGAGGAGGAGGAGGAGAGAGAGGAGGGAGGAGGAGGGAGGAGGAGGAGGAGGAGGAGGAGGATCAGGGAGAGGGAGGAGTAGGAGGAGGGAGAGGAGGAGAAGGAGGAGGAGGAGGAGGGCAGGAGGAGGAGGAGGCGGAGGAGGGGGGGCGGAGAAGGAGGAGGAGGAGGAGGAGGAGGAGGAGGAGGAGGAGGAGGCGGAGGAGGGGGGGGCGGAGGAGGAGGAGGAGGAGGAGGAGAAGGAGGAGGGGGAGGAGCAGGAATGGCTGCGGAGCAACGGCGGGGCGAGCGGGCCGGCTCCTCGCGTCGTGCAGAAATCAGGACGCCGGTCGTGGAAAAAAACACGACAAGCATCGGGAGCCCTCGCCCGGCCCCGAGGTCGTCAGAGGGCGGCTTGGGGTGAGAATGCGATCCTGGGGAAGGGTTCCCGACCTCTGGGGGTCCACATTGCAACAAAATAAAGAACAACAAAACGAAACAAAACAAAACACACACACACACACATACACACACACGCACGCACGCACGCACGCACGCACGCACGCACGCACGCACGCACGCACACACACACACACACACACACACACACACACACACACACACACACACACACACACACACACGCACGCACGCACACACACACTAACACACAAAAGAAACAAAAAGGCGCCGAAGGTCTGATTCACGCGGGGTCCCCGGAAGACCCGGCCCTTTCCCCGGGGCGCGTGCATTTTTGCATCCTGAGCAGCTGCTTGACGGCCCTGGAGCCTGGCGAGGACACCCAGAAGCCGAAAACTGGTGCATCTAACACGAAAGCCTCCCATGCCATCTTGTTGGAACTTGCGTCTCGACGCGAATCGACGCTTAAGGACGCGAAATCGACGCTGCTCGATGCCACATCGGTGCTGCCTCATCGATTACCAAAGGCGCCAGCGCACGCTGATGCACGCCAGAAACCGAATGCCGAGGACGCTCGAGGCTCCGATGAGCTGCTACCGAAGAGAACTGCAGAAGACCTTCCGCACCGAAGTCTTCAGCACGTTGGAGGTCTGGGCCTCGAACCCGGGGCAACTCGGGCCAGTGGTAACTGGGGTCTGGACTCCCGAAAAACGAATCCAAAATGGCCCAGACCCGAGTTACCCCTGATGATTTGGGGCTCTGGGCGCCCGAATTACCCGGGGTCACTCGGGCCCAGGGTAACTCGGGCTTGGATTCCCGAAAAAAGCAAACCCGAATTAGCTCTGACCTGAGTTACCCCTGATGACTCGAAGCTCTGAACAGTGGGCATGGAAGACGGCAGGTTCGCGCCGTGCCGACCCCGGCTTTGGTTCCTGACACCGCGAGGACCGCTCAGCCTTGAACGATCGGACGTCTCCGAAACGTCTGATCATTCAACATTGACCGATTCTGGGTTGGCGGCGGCGTTCAACGTTGAACGACGGCGGCGGGGTCGCCGCCGGTCGACACGGCGCGAAACTACTGTAGGATGCCAGACAGCTGATGTTAACCAAAACCGACAGCAGCCGCTGTTTGGCAGGCGGCCTCCTTCTGTCTCGAATAGACGACGCCCGCGGCGGCACGGACAGCGAGCCCTGTTCAAATAGGGCACGAACTGCTGTCAATCTTCGTGGCCACTCTTTCCGTTTCCATGTCGATCGTACAGACACACAGCTTGCGGCTGGAACATCGCAACGGCGTGTGTTCTACTGTCTTGATGGGCCCTTGTGGGCCAACTTCGAACCCCGGGACCGTCAAGAGACA